TTTGGTTGACACAGAACCAGCTGAGTGAAGTGATTTTGTTGGTGTTTGTGTGTGACGAAAATTCCTAAAGGTTTGAAGAGTCTTGCAATGATTTCTGGGATGTCCTTTATATGTGTTAGGGTGATTCTCTTTGTGCTTTCCTTGGAGGCATTTTTTTTTGACAGGTTGGCTTGGGGCTATATGTCTCTTGATGATGATGATGAGAGCTTCGCAAACTAACTAACTATCCAGCTCAGAGAACACAAACGCATCAAGATCATCTACCTGAGCTACAAATCTTCTCTATCATATTTAAAGCTAAGTATATTGACAAAAATGTTTTCTGGGGGGGTGCTATTATTGATAAGGGCTTTGAACACGCTGATTCATACAGATTCAACGACTGTGTCGGGGTGAGGGTGGGAAAAAATAACCATGATCTATTTCATGGGTGTGGAAGGACTATTCCAATGACTATTTTTCACAAACCTACTTGCTAGTTTTAATACACTTTCATGAAATAATGACCTATCCAAAAAGGAGAAGGAAGCAATAAGGATCTGTGAGAATAAACGAACTAACAGCCGACTATCCCACAAATATGCAAGAAAAAGCTGAAAATTCAATGAATCACACACCCAGTAGACTTTCAAGGGGAGCCTGAATGGGAATCAACGAGTTGGACGTGGAGTCTCCAAGGGTGACAAGAAGGAGATGGTCTTATGAAGAGGTAATTAAGTCGTACAGGCGACTGTCGAGCCGGTTAAAAAAAGAAGGACAAGAGAGAACAGAGTGAAATGGAGAATTGCTGCTTAAGGCTGCTGATGTTGCACCACCAGGACCCCAAGAGAATAGCAGTAATAATATAACAGATGTAATCTCAATATTATTTGTATTTATTATTCATTCTGTAGGCTTATTATTATCATTATTCACGACATAGCGCAACCATTTCGCAATGTCTTCTTCGATGTGTTACTGCCTCATCTTCAACCTGCTGTACTCTACTGGTCATGGCTTCCCACTCGAAACCCTAGGTTAACTGCCTGAATGGGGCCAGTCGCTAATGACCTTTGGACCGGATCCCAGTGGCGCAATGGTCTACGAAGCTCACTAGCCTTGTAACCAGAAGGTGCTGGCTGTGAGTGCGTACTGATGAAGAGTCCCAAACTAGGACGAAACAGATGCCTAGTACTCCCTGTTGGTTTTCCAGTGGTTCTCTAACTATTATTATTGTTATTATTATTATTATTATTATTAATCTCATTCTCATAGATATTTGTGTTAAAATATTATAAAGGCAAACCAAAGTTATGCGACATTGGGGACAAAATAGAAAACACACATACAGAATGTAGAATTAGGCTTTACAAACTGTGGGAAAAATACACTATTATGCCAGAGTTTCAATGAATTTATTTTCCCATCACTAAAAGAAACAATAATAATAATATTATAATAGATAGATAGACAGATGTACGCATAACTCAATAGTTAAATTCAATAACATCACATCCACCGGGGATTATTCACGCACACCACATAACATTCAATAATTTCTACTAAAGCTAATTATTAATAATAATAATAATAATAATTAAAGGACAGAATCAACTGTTTTCTTTTCGAAATGTTGGACTAAGGATAAATGCAATCTCCAGGTGTTCTCATGAAAGCAAGGATAGCACATGGAGTACAACAAATATCCCCAGTTGTATCAGAAATCAATATACATAAAACACCTTTAAAACAGCTAAATGTAGTAACAAGATATCCAAATTTCACAAGTCCGAGTACAAAACACCAACTATTTGAGGTAAATGCCCATTAAAATGCTTTCAAAAGAATTGATACTGAACAAAGAATATTCTTCTCGATAACCTCTTAATCATCAGGCTCTACAGTTATATATACACATTATAGTGAATGAATGAATGAATTAGTGTTATGAACAACATTAATTTTGTATAAATCAATAACATGAATAGATTCTGTCTGTTTTTGACATAGAACTTTGCACTGATGTCTGCAACAGTTCGAGTCGCCACACTCCATCCATGTAACACACAAAGTAAGAGAAAAAAGTGGAAGAAATGCATACTAGTCTGTTTTCGACATAGAACTTTGCACAAATGTGCGGAAGTTCAAGTCGCCACATTCCGTGTAGCACGCGAAGCAAGAGAAGAAAGTACAAGAAAAGCAAATAGAAACAGTGAGCAGAGGTGTGAGACAAAGGAGTAATAAAGAAATACAAAACAGTTTCATTGGAGATCATAAGTCACAGGGAGTGGATGCATCTGCGCCACTGAGAACGATTTTGAGCCATGTCACCAATTGTTTCCAACCATAGATTTTTGCCGTCCCGAGGACCCCAGCCTGGAAGTCTACACCTTCCTACGTGGCTAAGACCAACTGTTGTGGATTTCATTGACTGATGCCAAGTTTTTGTTTGACCGCCGCTAGCTTTTTTCCAGCCTGACCCTATATCCGCTAACATTGCTCGTCGAGGGAGGCGATGGCTTGGCATACGTAACACATGTCCTAACCATCTCAGTCGATGTAGCTTCACGACTTCGTCGATTGATTTCCCCTGTTTGCCTAGGACTCTACGCCTAACCTCCATGTTGCTCACCTTATTATGCCACTTTACACGGGATATAGAACGCAGGCACCTATGATCAAAGACAGCTAGTCTTTTCATGTCTTCCACTCTGAGTGGCCAGGTCTCACAACCATAAAGGAGGACGGAGCGGACTGATGAGCAGTACACCCGCCCTTTGGTCGATAGTCGAACATCTCGTCTACGCCAGAGTCGGCGTAAACTAACAAATGCGAAACGAGCCCCTTGTATTCGTGCATACTAGAGACAGCAAACAGAGGTGTGAGACAAAGAAATAGTAATAACAAGGAACAATATAGTTTCATTGGAAATCATAAGTCACAAGGAGTGGATGCATCTGCGCCAGTCATTGAGAACGATGAGTTTGAGCCATATCACCAATTGTTTCCAGCCGCCATTGGTTTTCATCGTTCCGAGGAACGCCACCAGTCAGGAAGTCTACACCTTCCTATGTGACTGGTTTAAACTAACTGTTGTGAATTTCATTGACTGGTACCATGTTTTGGTTTGACCGTCACTAGCTGTTCTCCAGCCTCACCCTATGTCAGCTAACATTGCCCGGCAGTCGAGGAAGGCGATGACTAGGCATCCGTAACACATGTCCTAACCATCTCAGTCGATGTAGTTTCACAGCCTCGTCGATTGATTTCCCCTCCCACCCACCTAGTACTCGACGCCTAACCTCAATATTGCTCACCCTACTATACCATTTCACACGGGAGATAGAGCGCAGGCATCTATGATCAAAGATAGCTAATCTTTTCATGTCTTCCACTCTCAATGGCCAGGTCTCACAGCTGGACATATAGGAGAACGGAGAGGAGTGCTGAGCAGTACACATGCCTTTTGGTCGATACCCAACCGGACATCACGTCTACGCAAGAGACGGCGTAAATTGGTATATGCGAAACGAGCCCTCTGTATCCGTTTTGAGATTTCATCAGGGATCAACCCGTTGGCTAATCAAGCATCATCTCATATTTGATAGGGACGAATCACATGCATGTACACAAGGAAATATACTTCAAAGGTGACTTATACCAAAGCACCTAATATCAATGTATTATGGTTTAATAAATAAACTTATATAAGACCTTCAGAAGACAAATTTCACAAGATGATAACTTCATTTCGTAGTTTCTTTATAACCGCTTTACAACTAACATGGTTAACAATAATAATATAAAATGCATGACAATTACTCAGTTAAATAAAAAACAATGATCTATTTTTCGTAAACAGACATGGAGTGGACAATATCTTTATTTCATCAGTTTTGTTCCTATCCAGTATAAACGTCCCCTATTGAGTGAAATGTTTGTTCTCAAGGGCCCGAAAAATATGCACGAGTGACACACTGATGGATGAATTTCCACATATACATTCAGTTTTATTAGCTAATGGTTATCCGGAGAACTTTATCACTTGTCACAGAGTAAAGAAAGACCACATCTCGAAAAGACAGCTTCTGTACCAGAGAAAGCTATCTGTCTTTATTAACCTACCATCAATCAAAGGTGACCAGATTATGCAGTTCAGAGGCAGCTAGCTCAAAGACTTCGATCAGCTATCAAACGCACATTCTACGCCGCCACATCTCTTTCCCTCACAGGCCGAACATTTTTGATCCCTGTACCTACCTACAATTAAAGGACGAAATTCTGTCGACTCTACTTCAAACTGTATCTACAAGTTCACCTGCAGCTTCGGTGACTCAGACCATTTAGGTAGAACCAACAGAATGTTCCAATGTCGTCGTCGTCGAAAAGAACATGTTCGAAAATGGCTACTAAATCATATAAAAAATCCCAATGCAATTATTAGTCTGATTAGAAATCCAGCATCATCTATTGCAAAAGACTTATTAATGTCTGGTCATAAAATCAATATTAATGACTGTTTCACAATTATTTTCAAGTATAGGTTTCGTAGGGATTTTGATGAAATCCTCCATACAATCACAGTTATTTCACACTCTATTTCAAGCACTTTGGGGGATTAATCACATACAGCCTGGAATGTGTGTACAAAAAACAATAAACTGCAATCTTCGCCTCCCATGACCTATTTAAATATGATTGGACATAAGTATGTACTTTTGTTTTTATTTAACTGAGTAATTGTCATGATCTTTATTTTATTATTGTTAACCATGTTAGTTGTGTAAAGCGGTTGTAAAGAAACTACGAAATGACGATATCATCTCGCGAAATTTGTCTTCTTAATGCCTTATTCAAATTTATCAAAGGGACTAACTGTTTTAATTATATAAGACAGAAAAATAACTACACATATGAAACATTCACTTATTTCCATGAAATTGGCATTACCACAGAGTGACATGAAATAATCCAAAATAAAAATTCTATGTTTAATTTAATTAATTAATTTTAAAAATTACCTTTAAACCATTTTGAATATAACTTTTAGCTTTTTGCCGGCTACGATCTGTACTACTGACAGTATTGTTAGTAGTATTACTCGAGTTGATAGTTGTAGTGGATTTACGCGTCACCTCTAATACACTACGTCGATACAATCCACCAGCCTCAATAAATTCATCACAATTAGTCACTTGAAATTCTCCATAATTGGCGCTGATTGGTAATTTGGCGTCAGCTTCTTTACCGGCATCAACAGAACGATGATTATGGTTATTATTATTATGATAGAGATTTTGATATTTTGAAGAAGAATTTCTCGTAGGCCAATATAATGCACATTTAGGGCGTTGACCTTCAATTACTCTGAATGCAAAAAAAAAATTTTAAAATAAAATAAATTAGATGAGGAATGTAGATATGAATCATACAGAATGATTGACATTATCAGAAGAGTTACAGACACAATAAGAAAACAAATATACCGGTAGGAAAATGATGAATAACTCTCGTATACAGTGTAGATTTTATCAATATAATCTACATCAGTTAGAAAATGATTAAGAATCAGGAAGAAGTGAACAGATTCTTCATCCCAACATGGTGCTCTTCAGCAATGGGCATACACACATGTCTTCAACAAGAATCAAACCCCAAGGACATTCACGTTTCGAGGCGAACTTGTTGATCATGAAGCCTACAGGTTTGAATTTGTTGGCTCATCATAAATGACATGCAGTGCTATCGAGTATAAGCATAAAACTTGTGCACTGTGGTGGTGTAACAACAGAAGACAAGGGCCAGGCAACAGATCCTTTTATTATGAAAATCAACACGTATTTATACATCTTTCAACTACATTATTATAGACAAGCGCAGTCATCTGATTGGTTGTTTAGGTAGACAAACGCAGGCTTCTGATTGGTTGTTTCGGGATTCCTTGACAAATAGAGTTCTCTCTGCGAATCATATTCTGCCACGTTAACTTTGCTGTGATTGGTTGTTGACTCAGGCTTGTTCATTTTTCTCACGGCCCATATTAGTGACCTAGACCTTAACGTAGATTAGTGCCAACCAATCGGCTAGCAGCCTGCTCTCACCACACTCGTCCCCCCGTCAAATACGTGCGACTGAAGTCGGCTTGATCTGATTGGTGCAGGCGTCATCGTTGGCTTGTCTCGCTGTATCCATTTCTGGAGCTCGCTGACGTTCACGCGCCCCTCATTGTTCGCCATTGCGACTGTGTCTGCGTAACCCCATCTCGAAGTGACCATATATGGTCCTTCCCACTTTGGAAACTGTTTGCCTGACCCTGTCGAACATTCGTCCATACTTCGGCTCACACTTTCATATGCTGCTTTCACCCGACCTCCCAGCAGCGTCTCAAGTAGCAGCTCCATCGCTGACAGATCTTGAACGCACTCAACTGCGCAGAAGCCTTGAAGTCCTGCCGAAGACCCATATGTCTCCATCAAAAGCTGCAGGTATAGGCTTTCCATTTGTCGGTAGGCAGCGACACCAAATGTAACAACAGAAGACAAGGGCCAGGCAACAGCTTTTATTATGAAAATCAACACGTATTTATACATCTTTCAACTACATTTTATAGACAACGCAGTCATCGATTGGTTGTTTAGGTAGACAAACGCAGGCTTCTGATTGGTTGTTTCGGGATTCCTTGACAAATAGAGTTCTCTCTGCGATCATATTCTGCCACGTTAACTTTGCTGTGATTGGTTGTGACTCAGGCTTGTTCATATTTTCTCACGGCCATATTAGTGACCTAGACCTTAACGTAGATTAGTGCAACCAATCGGCTAGCAGCCTGCTCTCACCACAGTGGTAGAGTATAATTCCATTAGGAGTGAATTTTTTGTTTTGATAAAGTCTCACAGTGATATACAGTAAGTAATATTTACTGATGACGTTTCGAGCACAATTTATTTCTGCTTTCTAACTTCATTTATATCATTCCATTATTATTTTCCATCGCTTGACTTGATTGGTAGAGTGGTATTCTCCATTTCCATTTCCGATATGAGTGATGGGTCATCCCTGTTGCACGTGTGGTGTTGGGTGTAGACTCGATGAACCAGTCAGGATTCAATAATCAACCTCTCTCTATCTCCACCTACCTAGATTACATTTTAGAATTTTAACCTTCTCCCACCACCCAATTGTGCGATTGTGTGTTAATGCATGCAGTGCATTGCAGTTGCTGAGCTTTCTTCTAAATTACTTATCTTCCCGGGTGGGGCCAGCCATTCTTACCCTAACTAAATTCTTATGTTCTGATAATCTTGACAAACATAAATTCACTAGTGGAGGGAACAAAATTCACATTTGAATTGGAAAATAAACAAGGAGAATTAGCTATGATGTTAGATTGTAAAATAAAATGAATAGAAGAAGGTAAACTACACACTAGTGTGTACAGAAAACCAACTCATTCTAATAGATACTTAGACTTTAATTCATCTCATCCGTTAACTGTTAACACAGACGGCTTAGCGAAGTGTTTAACAAACTGAGCAATGGTACTAAGTAGCACAAGAAAAGACCTAAATGATGAACTAAAACAGATAGAAGAGGCGTTGGTGTTAAGTAACTATCCTTTACAATTCATTAGGAAGATTGAAAAAGGCCAAACGAAAAATAAAAATAATTGTGAAACTAGTAATGATAACATAAATAACAGAGAATATAAGTCATCCACTGTTATACCATACAAGGAGGGGACATCTGAGACCCTCCGTAAGATTCTAAATAAAGCAGGAATTAGGGTGGCATTTAAACCTACAAACTCACTCAGGTAGGACAAGCTCTGTAGGTTAAAGGACCCAGTAGGTTGACCCAATTAGACAAAATAATGTAATTTACAAAATACCCTGCAATGACTGTGATTGAGGTCAACTACATAGGTCACACTAGTAGGTCGGGGGTAGTCAGATTATCAGAACATAAGAATTTAGCTAAGGGAAGAATGGTTGACCCTGCGAAGATGAGTAATTTAGAAAAAAGCTCAGCAACTGCAATGCACTTCGCGCAATAACAAACAACCACACAATAGGGTGGGACAGGGTTAAAATTCTAAATTGTAATCTATGTAGGTGGAGATAGAGAGAGGTGGTTGATTACTGAATCTCTGTTCAACGAGTCTACACCCAACACCACACGTGCAACAGGGATGACCCATCACTCATACCGGAAATGGAAATGGAGAATACCACTCTACCAATCAAGTCAAGCGATGGAAAATAATAATGGAATGATATAAATGAAGTTAGAAAGTTGTGTGAGTGCTAATATATGTGTAAAACTTGGGCACTGTGGTATTAAGTAATTCCATATTAGTTTGATTATTAAATGTATCACACAGTGAAACAGTATTGTATACTGGATGACGTTTCGAACACAATTTATTGTTCATAATCATATCAATTTTTGTCACACGACTTCGAGATTTGATTTTTATAGTTTTCTCTGTCTTCTCCTATTTGTTGTATGGGCAGTAGAATTTTCCATATATCTGGGACAGGTGTTGAATCATTCCTATTACATGTATTTGCAGTTGATTCGATAAACAAAGCTTCTGTTATCAATCTCTCCCTATACCCTGTGACATTAGATTTTAAAACTGTCATCCTATCCATCCTATTGTATGGTTGTGTGTAACTGCATGTAGTGCTATAGCTGAACTACTCTCTAGATTTCTACATCTACATTTTGCATCCAGTTTCCTGTTTACCAGCATACACTTATCACTTAAATATGAATTCTAACAGAATCATTTACTCTCGTAACTTTATTAATAATTTACGACCAAATGACTTTCATATTCCAAAGAAACCAAGAAGGAAACATCGTAGTGGTTGGCAGAGAGCTCTCAAACGTACACCAATACACTTAACTACGGTCCCCGTCATAATGAACTCAAACTGTCGCTCTCTACCAAATAAGATAATGTATCTACAATCCCTGATGTCAACTGATACGTATCATAACACTGCCATAATCGCATTACAAGAAACGTGGTTGCATGAACTGTATGATGACAACCTTATCTCACTAAAGGACTTTATTTTATTTCGACAAGACCGTCAATGTTGTAATAAGAAAAATGGTGGTGGCGTTGCAACTTTTATTCACTCCAAATGGTCTGTCTCAAATAACATCTGCTTCACCTTCTCAAATGACTTCATTGACTGTATTACTGTCAAATGTCGCCCCAAACACCTCCCCAAATATAAACAATTCTATATTACAAACATGTACATTTCTCCTAGTTGCTCTCCATCTGATCTATCTAATTTTGCTGATGAATTCACCATGTTTGCTGCTGCCAACTTCGACAACTCTCTATCCGTTATTACTGGAGACTTCAACACATCAGATTGCTCCTTTCTTGAAGCTCTTGGTCACACAAATATAGTCAAATTTCCCACTCGACTTGACAAAACCCTTGACTTGGTTTTTACTAATGATGAAGGAGTATATGAAACACGTAGACGTTCACCGATACATAACTCCGATCACTGCATTGTCCGCGTTTTGCCAAAAATATACAGCAAAACACATATTAAAATCTTCTCACACCTGTCTACGAAGGCACAACAAAGAAGCTACACATCTGACAACTTACTCAATCTAAGATGCATGTTAAAAGATACCAACTGGGATCTATTCTATGAAAGTACATTAGATGACTCAATCACCAATATAATGGATTATCTTAAGTTCTGCCTCGACATATGCTGTCCCAAACAAACACTGTTCAAACGCCTCGACCGCTTCTCGTCTCCCCATCTCAAACAACTTCGCAGGCAAAAAGAAATGTTATATAAATGCAAAGACAAGTTAGGACTTAAAAAGATAAATGCTCAAATCAAATCTGAAATCAAAAATCTTAATGCTATCTATAACCAAACACTTTTATCATGCAAATCTCCAAACAGCATGTGGAAACTTTTCAATGAAATTACTGGCAATAGTAAGCGATGTAATGTTTTTCCCTCTTGTGATGTTAATGCTCTTAATCTGTCTTTTATACGCTCTCCTTCTACCATAACCACTTCTAATGTTACCAATCTTGTAGCTGATAACTTCCAGGACTTCAATACTCTCGATGTTTTGAAATGTCTTAAAACTCTTAAGCCCTCACATAGTCTTGGCCCTGATGGCATACCTGCATATGTCCTAAAACAATGTGCAGATGCTTTATGTTCTCCTCTAACTAATATCCTAAATGCTTCTTTCTCCGAAAACGTTGTACCTGTTCCATGGAAAGACATTAAAATAGTCCCTGTCCCTAAACCTGGAAATAGCAAGAACGTAAAGTTCAGACCCATCGCCATCACTTCCCCGTT